GCGGACACATAAACATGCTGAGAGGCAGTGGATGAACGGTGCAAAAACTTTTTACCCCCAAACCCCTGATTAAGAGGGCATAAAAATGAAATCTTCTATATATTTTAAATTGTCATATTTTAAAAGTTGGACATATCCTACATTACCGAGTCTTCGTATTCAAGAGCTCGTCCCCTAATGATGTCTACAATATAAAAAAAGCTTCTTCTGGACTCTTGGAAACAAATTCATCTATCGTAATTACTTCATTCTTGATAAATTACTTTGTAAAACGTTGGGAATACTTAGTTTTTGTTAATTTTCCAGGAGAATCTAATTGAATTCTGTAATAATGACAGGTGCGACATGACTAATAAGATATAACTAAAATGATCCAGAATTCTAATGTGTCTGTAGTTAATTGATTCTTAAATGCGCGCATTCAGCATTCCAAATTGGCAACAGAAAGATAACATGGCATAGAGTTCAAAGCAGCATCATTATTAGATTGTATTGTCTGTTCCTCCCCAGAAAATCTGTCGCATTACTGGATCACCTTTTGCGCAAAACTCGTATAAGCGACAGAGCCTCTTAACTATATACATGTAAGAAGACTGAAACACCAAGTTTCCTTCCTCATTCCTTTTGCCGTTTTAGAAGAAAAACAAAACTACCAAACGCTGATGAGAAGCATTATTCCAAGATAACGAAACGCTGTTATAATGTTTTCTGTAATCAATGTGATAATGTTTTTTCTGCAATATCTTATGATGCGAACCGGCTTGTGTGAACATTCTAGTGCAAAATTTCTCACACAAATACGAAACTATCGCAAAACATATGTCTGAATAGCAGAAAACTCGGCGTGTTATTGGTGACTGACCTTTTTAGAGGGAGTGCACGCGCTGGCAGATCAGACACAGATGTCCAAAAATGACAAACGAAGGAAAATGGAATTACAAATGACCCAAAACATGCAATTATGTTAATTTCATTAAATTGGTTAAAGTGTCTGGAAACTTTTTATCATTTTACGCAAATTACGTGCTTCCCATGGCGTAAATGAAAATGCTGTACGTCTTACAGACAAACCATGGAAACAAATAAGAAATCAAACAATTTATGCTTCTTAATTATCCAACTCGAGCTATAAATATTCTTAAATCATAGGAAATTTGTATTTTCTGATTGTAATCAAATGCACTTGAGTAAAAATTTTATTTTGCCAAAGGACCTGTCAAAAATTTGACACCGAAAACAAATCCGGGCTTCCTATACATTCTTATAAATGCTAAATTGACATCATTGATGTTAAATTATTTTAAAGTACGTCTTTAAAGATAGGTAAGACTGTGATATCATAAAATTGTTCGCGATTTTTCCCGTCTACACAAAGATTATATGGAATTTTAATAGTGTCGCTCGTACATAAGCAAAACATGATTTGGATTATGCAAGGTCGTAAAACACCAGAGGGTTGGTAATTTTCATTACTGAGTGGTAGGAAGTTGATTAACTAATCATTTACATCTTTCACAACAAAGTTCTCCTGCCGACTTCAACCACCATCACTACGGTTCGCGCGCGCGGGAAAGTAAAATATGATATGATATGTACGCTGATAAAAAAGTGAAAGTTTTCTTATTAGTCAACCAGACTGTAACATTTCATTCTACAAAATGCGAAATTTCAAAAAAACTCTGCGAAAGTTCTTGGCAAAAAGACAGCGGTTTTGACATTCGTTTTTTATAAACCTGATATTAAACCCGTTTGATTTTTTTTTAAATCTTGGTAATAATATTATATGGAAATATTTCTTTTATGTTTTCCTGAGATTATTCAAATTTTGTTTGTTCATATTTTTAAAATATGTGTGCACATGTTGTTCATTCCTCATTTAATGATTGAATGTTCCAGAATTCGCTTTAAATTCCAGAAGAAATTTTCATGGTCTTTGTTTCAATAAATCTGCCAAGGTTCAGGATATAAATATAATTCATTTTGGTTTATTCATCGAAACGAAGAACATTTTACAGTTCCATAATTAGTTTTCTCTCATCAGATGTTACATAATTGTAGACTCCCACTACATCTCATGACGTCATATTTCCGGTAATTTTGAAAGACGTTGTTACTATTCCTAAGCATCTTTTTCAATTGAAACAATCCTTTCGTATTGGAGTAACTGCACATGTGCATTTTCCAAGCCTTGACGCTTTCCTTATGTCTGTTAATAGCCGAAGCTGCGAGGAACCTGTTTCCGGAACATGCCATATTATGTCTATGCAGGAAAGTTTTAGTTCTTTCATGGAAAGAAATAAACTGCCTCCAGACTCTGGCCAGTCTTGAAGTGAAGAGATGATCGTTACATAAGCTTTATTTTTATCCCCCAAAATAAACCTTTTCAAAAGAACACTTGCGGTCAAAGTTTTAGATTAAATATATTTAATGTACCGTATCAAGAGAGGAGTTCCATCTGGCAAAGTAGATATTACATAATTTTCAGTTAGAATGCAAGAAGTGGAACGACCAACCACTCCCCTCCTAACAAAGATAAAAGTTTTAACGAGGAGGAAAAGTAAAGTGGCTAAAATCAAAGGCATGCAGAGAATAAGAGAAGTAAGATGGACGGGTACCTATACTTTGACCTTTAATCCGCAAGAAAAAAATTATTTCTTCGTATTTTTTCATTGTCATGCTATAATAGATTTTATTAAATCAACAAATGGGAAAAAAATCTTTGTTGTTTTCATAAAAGAGGTACTTGGACACCAGAACAGCATGCCAAACCCCTTTCGGCATATTTAAGATTTTCTCACGTGATGATCAATGATGTATGAATTCATAATCGTTAGAACGTTAGAAGGGGTACCCCTATCCTTATAAGCGAACACAATAAACGTTTTTCTTTCGTGATAATTATTTGGCGTTTCAAAAGCATGCCGTGGAATAAATATGAAAATTGGATACAAATCGACAGAGAATCTGGGGTCAAACATTCACACTACAGAGCCGCATGGCCGAGGGAATCGGATAACTGGTTATTGGTGATGTCAAGGATTTGCATCTAAAAAGACTCCATGTATGTGTTCAACATATGGGATTAAGAAAACCCCAGTTTACTCTTCTTTAGAGTCTACATTTCACTGCTGGGAAAATAACTTAAAATAAGCATGCAATGGAATAGTTGAGAAAATATGACACTGTCCATAGAAAGTACATGCAGGTACCTCCATTGTATTTTGCGGAGGGGCACTTGTGTATGGTAAATGCTTATTGTCAGGGGTTCTATAACAGATCATTATAGTCTGGCATGAATCAACCCGGATAGTTCAAAAATTTAACTGATAAAAACTCGTATGAGGATTGTTAAAGTTATATTTACTGTATACTTTTACAGAAAACAATGATCATGACACAAAATTTATACATAATTTATTTTCGTGCCACATGACAAGATTTTAAATTTTATTTATTCGTATAAAAATTTTATTTCCATTTCTTTTTTGTGTTGTTTAAATTTGACCCTATATTGTTTGCCAAGATTAAATATGCAATGGAATTTTCATTGAGTTCAATAATCCACAAGTTTTTACTTCCCAGGGCAACGTCACAATTAGGTGAACAAAAACCTCTCTTCTTATTAAAAAGGTCTTGAAACATCTATTGCATGTTTAATACGGTATTTTGTGTTATGAGAAGAGGTCACTAAGATATTTATTAGAATACTGGTCGGATCAGTTTTGTCGGTGGAATTTCAATTTCGCCCCTTTTTAGAATTTAATCTTTTTAAAGTGTCCCATTGTCCTGTTTCTGACGGCGTATTAACCTCTCCCTTCCCCTTTTTCAAATTTCTTTGTTGTTTTCTTCAAAGAAATGTCAGATATCCAGTGATATCAATGCAAAGAGGTAAAATAAATTAAACGATGTCCAAAGTATCATGCCTCAGAAAAAATTTTCACAGCTTTTTGTGTCATTTAAATCCTTTTGGTTCCTTATGCTAAAACTTTTTTTTGAAAAAAAAAAACAAACAAATTATTTATAAAAATACAATGATGGAATAATTAACAATGAGGGTCTGTAGCAAGGAGGTCAACTCTGCGTCTATTTATTTCCAAATTTGATGCACATTCTGTAAACAAAGATGTTCGTTTGCATCTCTCGTACAACAATGGGCACAGTGTTGAGGAGAAGATTATTAACACGATCTCATGATAATCTCGGGCAACAGTCACGCCCTGTCTCCAGCCTACTAACATAAACAGGGTACTAAACTGACTTTGATATGTCTAAAATTACAAAGACTTTAGTCATACTAGAGTATGCTTAAGGAGATAAGGCAGATGTAATATCTGATAGACGTCAAGTTAAAACAGACACAACATTCATTCCGCTGTTCGGCTGATACATGCGAATATCAAAGGGCCATCTGATGTATATGAAATACCTCCACATTCTTTATAAATTATCCTGCATCCGGAAATATGAAACAGTTATCGAAATATTGAGTTCCTTGGCGGAAATTTCATCAAAATCCGTCATGCACTTTGAATATCTGTTGAAAATTTAAGTACAAGCCTGCTCGAGATATAATCGTAGAAGAGTACCTATATAAACAATTTTTGTGTCGAAATGTGCAATTCTGAACCAACATCAGCTTTTATAGATCCTGTATTTAAAATGTCCAATTAATTTGGCTAGGTTTCTTTATATATATAATAATGCCCGAGGTCGATGCAGTCTCTGCCAACATTGTAACATTGCCTGCATCAATTTATGGTTTATTTTGTGGAATGTGCGAGGATTCGCAAAAATTACCAGAAAAATCTCTCTTCTAATCGTCCAAAATTAACTCCAAGAAAAATAAACTAAAACTTCCAGACATGTTTCAGTATAAGGTGGCAATGGTAACAGAGGTTGCATGGTCTCTCTAATTCAGGGCCAATTCCTTTCAATCTTGATGTTTTCCAATTTTGTCCTCCAAACATTAAATATGGCCTAAGAGACAAAAATAGAAAAAATCTAATTCGAATTCTTTTTATTCAAAAACAGCTTCATTTGCATTTTCAAGAAAAGCAATGCATAAATGCCTTTGTGTGTTTTGTCTGTTAGCGTTTAGAAAAATAAATACAAGTACGTGTACATACATTTAAATATACAAAAATTAATATCACAGCCGATTGAACAAGTAATGCGAGAAACATCTACTTATTTCTTAAAGAACAATTATATTTTGGCAAGACAGTTGTTTTAGGAGCACATGCAATGCAAGTATCAAAATAACTTCAAACACTTGGAGTAAAAAGTAAACATCACTTCTGTGTATTGTACAAAGTGAATTACAGAAACAAGAAAAAAAGTTCATTAAACAAAAGTCTGGATATCAAAAGAACATGTGTAACATAAGTGCATGTCTGTTAAAAATAAAAAGTGTATACACAATGAACATTTCTCTTTCTGGAGCAAAAAACTGGGCTTCATTTGTCTGGGTGCATTCTCCTATTTACATTAACTAGATTTTTGGCAATTCCTGTAAAAAAAAGAAATAGAAACACTTAGCAACATAAGTTCACTGGTATCTACATTTATTTCTATAAAAGTATGTGTTTATAAAGCAAATGTCATGAAATGTGGGAAAATTTAGAGCTCTGTCACTGCCATCAATCTTATGAAATGGATTTCCAATGGCTTTTCTCTGCCCCGTGAGATTAAAGTGACAATTTAGAAAAAGAACTCAAATCCTTCCTGTCCATTCTTAATCTATAAAAGTCATTTTAGGCACAAATCCTTTAAATTTCAAAGATTTATAAAGACTTTAGAGGCTGTTTACCTTTCCTGAGTCATGACGGGTTGCAGGGATAAATGGACATCGATTTCCCAGGTCATGGGGTCACTCGGGCCAGGGTAGCTGACCAGCATTGTCCACTGAGCCAGCAGGAGGCACAATCAAGCAGGAAAAAGATTAAGATCCCTCACTTCAGTCCACAGACTCGACTCAAATGAAGGGTCCTCTAACCACACCTTTACGTGACCAATTCAACACGGTCACTGAATGGTGTGATGAATGATTTTCGGATGTGTGAACTGTGTAAAAATTCAAAACCAGCTCTTTTGAATCGCAAAGTTCAACATGAATGGTCACAAAGTGTCATAATCGGTGTCCATCGTACAAGTAATATATTGTGTACGTATGCACCAAACAAAATAATCTCAATATTACATGTAATATGTACAAATCTGAACACGATATATTTTTAATCTCTGTAAGTATAATTTGGACGGTAAACACACTCTCCTGGAATGTATATTTGTAACTGAGACACAATCCCTTAAACATGTCAAACATTGGCGCAAGGCGGTGCTTTGAAGTACACATAATTTGTAGAAGACGAAGAAATGGTTTGTCCACTGTTTTCGTCGCTGTCTGTAGATGCTTCGCAGGTGGCCAGGCATGGTTCGAAACCATTAGCCAAGACCACCACTTGGTTTGATGTTGCTCCGTAAGTATCGCCTGTTTCTTCTCTATATGACGTAATCATATGTTTCTTCAGCCGATCACGTGATGTCATCCTGGGTGTCAAAACTCTTGGTGTTTCTGGAGCAGATGCACAGAGCTCTACAAAAATAAAGTTTGAAATGCTATTATTGTATAGTTAATAGCTAAAGTATGGCAAGACTAACCAAAGAGAAGAACTATCTTGATAAGTTTCAGTAAATTAAAATGGTTAATATCGAGAAATTGTGGTGATGCAAGTAAATCCTTAAGGAAGCTTTTGGGGTGGGTGGGGGAGATAATAACACTAGATAATTTTAAGACTTAGGTTGTGTGCCCTAAATAAAAACGTTTTTAAAGATATGATGAATATCGATGAATTTGTGTTTGGTGATGACTGCGCCCGAACTAAATTTGCTACCTCTGGGTCTACAAGAAATGTGTGGGAACCGCTGCAATCCGCCTGGAACGGGAAATAAACCACCGGAGTAGAATTACTTGTTTCAAAGTCAAAACAAGCGTAAAGCTTTATCTGCCCGTAGCAAAAGAATTCTTCAGTTCTGATTCACCCGATAACGTTTCAATTATCTTCCAGTAGATAAATATTTCATTCATGTGCAACAAATTGACGACAACCGTATACCGTTTTCCACAGACAAAGGAAAGGCTTGGTAATTGGCAAATCGGGATAAACCGCAAATCTCAAGGAAGCTCCCATATAATGTATTCAATGAATATACTTTTTTCCTTGCTCTCGTCGTTAAAATGACTTATGCTAGGTGTAGGGCTTATTTTACTTTTGTTTTTAAAGAAAGAACTCAACAGCACAGCTAGCAAATTGATAACAAGTTTTACCAACTTAAATTTTCCTCTCCAACACAAACAAAATGCCACAGACATATACCTGTGATGTACAAATGTACAATTCAAAAAATAGGTGCAGAGAAATAGAAAAGAATAAATAGGCACAAGGGGGGAATAAAGAAGAAATGTCTTGTAAAGGATTCAGAATGGTTTGATACGCTGGTTACTACTGAGTACATGTATTTATAAAAAAAAAAAAAAAAATTTCCATTTTTTATGTATGGCTTTAACAATGTTGATATTATTTTGTTGACCGAAGTTGGGGTACCCAAATAAAATGATCTCAAGGTCTATTGCTCCTTTGTTATTTTTTAGGGATAGGAAATAATTCTGTTATTATTTCAGCATGTTTTACAATACAGGAAGAGACGAATTTAGAGTAGTCGTTCATATATTCGCTGTCCTCTACAAAAATTATTATTGTCATATACAAATTTACGTTGAAAAATTCTAAATTTTTGAAGAGAACAATTATATTCACTCCACCCTTAAAACTATTTTTGGCGAATTTACATGTGTATGTGCGTGTGTAAAGCCAGCCAAAGCTACATTATGGTCTTTTTTTTTTATTAATGTAAAATGAGTCATCTAAAATGTATGATGGCCAGATGTAATTACGGAGTTGGTCTTGATCGTTATGCTCGACTTGCTGTAATTTTCAAATATCGGGACCTGCTAAGGTCAGTCCAAATCTCAGGTTACACCAAGCACTATTGATGGAATGTTTCTAATTATTTCAACAATTTTCTTGTTGACTTGAACGTTTTTATTTCAAAATCAAGAACCGCAAACACAGTTCTGACAACGACACGATTAGCCAATGAACCTCTTGAAAATTCATGAACGATTAAATATTAAGGGGGGATTATAGAAACTTCAATGAGCATCTCACACTAGTTTTTTTATAAATTTGGAAAATTCAGAATATTAAAGTTGATATTAGACACTGATGCCTTATTCATGGCGACTGCCAACTACTGAAGCTGAGCTTCTCGTACTTCAATCAACAGTCATTATAACAATCAGTGGCAATCGCTTTTTCTACTAACCATTAACGATATAACATTAACGAGCTCCCTTGAGAGCGGAGAGCGCCGTATCAGCTGCTACCAAATTTAACCTGCATTTTTTCACAGTTACAAAGCAAATAATCATAGCAATATCTTATGTTTAATGGTATACAATCTGGCTATCGAACTGATTGAAATCCTGTCTGAAACAATGCGAATGTTAGTCATTCAAACAGGAATTCTAAATGAATATTTACCGCATTATTGAGAAGTTATGAAATTATATATACTTATATTTACCTGGGTAATAAATGAGTTCCTTTTCTTCCCGGTGTTTCCTGCACACAAAGCAGTAGATGGTGATGTAGACGATGATAATCACTGACACGACGGACAGGACTCCCACCAGAGCCATGGCCAGGGTGTACCACCGCTCGTCCGTCACCCTCTCCACCGGGACACTCCCTTGGGACTTGGTGGACTCGAATGACCCCCCGGAGATGGGCCCCGTCACCAACACCTTGGTGGTATCATTGTCTGCGGGCAGCAGGTTGATGATGGGGGCCTGATGAAACCTGTCAAACTCTAAAAAGGGTCCACACACTGTGTCAGCCAACTTTGAACACGGAACACGTATAATGGTGTTAGAAGCCCTACAAAGAGTGCAGGGGAGACATTCGCCTGTTTCCTTTTTGAAGTACTCATTGGCTGTACATTCTGTAACATCGTTCTCACCCAATACTGCCGAGGCACACAAACATAAAACTAGAAGTGTATAATCCATTTTGTCACCAAAATAAACTCTCTCCTCGTTAATTTTAAATGAAAATATTAAAATTCTGTTGTCTGAAAAGAAAATACAAAATTTCTTTTAAAATCTTAAATATTATTGTCAAAAATTGTAGAAAGAGTTGACATGAAAATTTCAGCCTAAGACTTACCTTGTTCTTATTTTGACCGTTGAAGTTTAAATGATAAAGACGGCGTGGGAATGAACTAATCTGTTCTTTTCTCAATGGACGTTTTCTACTTATGAATACACGGTAGCAACAGAAAGCCTATCTGGCTCAGTTGGCGAAAGATCCGCCTACTTTATTCTTTACACCAATCGTCTCTCACCATTATGGAGGAATGTGAGGGCCCTGTGTATTACAGCTGGGATAATGCGCACCTGAAACTCATTCATACTTTGTTCACCTGTATCAGCAATTTCCAGCTAGTGTCAACAACACGTTTAAACGACTGTTAAAGGAATCTGAATTGTCTCGATGTAAAGGCAAACTTTGAAACTCATACATTATTGTGGTATAAAATAACAATAATGCTTACTTTGACAGTCTCTTCCGCGTGACGAATGTTAGATTGAACTTTCCGCAGTTTTTTAATAAAACACTGTACATAGGCCTAAGGTATAAATGTTCAGGAAAGAAAATACATTCAAATTAGTTAAATTATTCCAAACACCACGTACAGTTCACTAAACAAATCTGCTGTTATTTCAGAAATTTAATTTAGTTGTCTGGGGTCCAGTTTTAATTATACGAAGTGACGATGGATTACTTGGTCATTGTTGACATCAGTTGCACGTGTGAACTTAGTATACATTAAAAAAATCTTGTAACGGAAATGTTGCGTTCCCAAAACAGCTTTTTATTCACGGTTTACATGAGGGTTTTGTATGCATATTGATTGACTTTGACATGGCTGATGACAATTGCGTTGTCGGAATAATGTTTAGTTCTGCGACATTGATGTCTGACTATAGGTTTAGGAAACGAATGCTAGTCAGTGCACACATAAATGGACAAAGTAGGTGGCAGAAATACTGAAAAAGCAATTAAAGACCTCACACAAAAGTATAATTATGGATAAAAAGTTATGTCATCTAACCCCCGTGAAGAGAGAAAGTTGCAGGAAAAACACATGGTTCTCCCTAGAAGCGGTTACACGATTCCGTTGCAACACATTGTTTTTATACATCTGACCTGCCTGTTGTATATCAATAAACTTCTTCTGTATCACTGATACGGCAAATATTTGTATGATGAGAAAATTCTTTTGACTTTTCCCTTCGCTGGTGGTCGAGGTAGGTGCAGCTGAATCGGATCAACTTCAAAGCATCGAAATGACCCTGAGCAATCCATCATTGATAGAAATGATGGACAGTGATAAAAAAAATTAATACACTAAAGAAACAATATACTGGCAGCTTATCTCAGGGCAAGGATCTGTGTTGTATTATATAAATGCTGTTCAGCAAGCTCTTTTAAAAATTTATGGAACAGACATGAATTGAAACTGAACGATGTACACTACTAGACTGCTTTGCTTTTTATCCAACAGTCATGTACTTTTAAATTTGAATCTCAGAGGCTTTTTGTTCAGCTTAAGGTTATTGTATGTATTTATTTAGTAACATGTTAAAAATTGCATAGATTTCTCAATGTAACACGTCGAAATAAAATAAACATTTGTCAAGTTTAACGTTTTTATAAACATTTAATGTACGTATTGGCCTACATTTTTCAGTATAAAGAACTTCCGGTGTGTGAACAAATTACACACAAATATATTTATATATCTTAACGCACAAAATACCTTAAATGATATATATACAATCGTGTTCCTGGGGCATAGATTTAGATTTTGACATTTTAGTGAGAAAGTGTATATCTCCATTCGTGAAACAATATTTACATATTATTTAAGTGCTACATTTAGGAATTCAACTTGGATATATCAAAGTGTATAAGTCGTCAAAAACATAGCAGAAAAGTATTATTCATCAGAGATAGTCGTCATAATTAAATCACCAAACCTTGAAGTATTTGTATTTGACAACATTTTTATATCATAATATCGCGTTCTAAAACAACAACACGAGGCGGTTATACGTTTCCGTAGAAAGGTCAAAAATAGCAAATAATCTTAGTTCTTACTAAAAAAAAGTCGTAATAACGAGATAAAAAGTCGTTATTACGACTTAAGAAAGTCGTAATAACGAGATAAAAAGTCGTAATAACGAGATAAAAAGTCGTTATTACGACTTAAGAAAGTCGTTATTACGAGATAAAAAGTCGTTATTACGAGATAAAAAGTCGTTATTACGACTTAAGAAAGTCGTTATTACGACTTAAGAAAGTCGTTATTACGAGATAAAAAGTCATTATTACGAGATAAAAAGTCGTTATTACAACTTATGAAAGTCGTAATAACGAGATAAAAAGTCGTAATAACGAGATAAAAAATCATTATTACGAGATAAAAAGTCGTTATTACAACTTATGAAAGTCGTAATAACGAGATAAAAAGTCGTAATAACGAGATAAAAAGTCATTATTACGAGATAAAAAGTCGTTATTACAACTTATGAAAGTCGTAATAACGAGATAAAAAGTCGTAATAACGAGATAAAAAGTCGTTATTACGACTTAAGAAAGTCGTTATTACGAGAAAAAAAGTCGTTATTACGACTTACTAAAGTCGTTATTACGAGATAAAAGTCGTAATAACGAGATAAAAAAGTCGTTATTACGACTTAAGAAAGTCGTAATAACGAGATAAAAAGTCGTTATTACGAGTTAAAAAGTCGTTATTACGAGATAAAAAGTCGTTATTACGCCTTAATTTTTTTTTTCTTCATTTTCTAATTTGACCCTTGTAGGCTTTCGTATTATTTTTATTTTCTTATGTAGAATTCAAGGTTATCTATTGCAACACGTCTATAATTAGAAGGGAATTTCCTACGTACAAAATAAATGGTAAGGTGGGCGTTCAGCATGCAGCAATAACGTTTACCTGCACATTTCACTTTCTAACTCGTGTTTGTTTAGAATTTTAACAGTTAATTTGATATATTTACTTTGTTGTGTGATCATTTCCTTTAAGGGGTTTAAGGTTGCCTCATCTCCAAGTTTAGACCTGTTGAAATTGTTCTAAATCCATCGTTTGCATGCAGATAAAAAGGTTACCTGAGTGTTTGTTTTTAGGTCAGTATGACTGCCTATAATAAGAATGTGATTGACAGCGTCACTCTTCTTATCTTTTCATCTTGGTGGCCCCTCTAATGGCTTTTTTAGCTGTAGGCTCATTGGTGATTATCCTTAGTTTACAAACATTTTTCAGCCACCTGTTCCATATTTATCTGAATTGATAAAAACTTCCAATACAAGTTTTATTCACAACAGTTGGTATGCGTGAATCTGATTTTTATGAATAGCTTATTATGTTAAACAAGCGTGTTAACGTGTTCTATCAGAGTGGAGTTTTAACAAATACAGATTTTAACGATTAACAACGTTTTACATTACAAGTTTTTTTAGAAATCTAATCTACACTAAGATTCTTTTATAATTTAATAAAATTGCACTTTGTGAAATTTCGTCTAAGACATATGATGCACCTAGCAATTCCGTATTTGTCTTTTGGTTACTTTGTCAGAGGTAAAATTACTGGATAATGCTGTTAAAAAGTCTCATTACCAATTCTCCATGGAAGAAGACATACTGACATGTGACTTAATTAAAGTATCAACAGTCCTGTGTGAAGCAAGGTGTAGGTTGTACCCAAACCCTTCTCCAAAAAGAACACTGTGTAGGTGCCTGACATTATTATTAACTAAAATTTTTTTTTTAATTCCAAATTAATACAACTTGTTATAGATATTTTTAACCTTCTCTCGATCATTGGTTTTGGCTAGACTTTGGCAAATGGCCTCAAAACAGTAATGGTTGTTAATAATTTTACGCACATTACATGGATATCCAAGCAATTTGGAAACAATCTTTCTTGTGGTTCTTGTGATTGGGATGATGGTATATAGTTAATTTCCCACTATCTGAAAATGGGTAATTTTGTAATGTACATTTGTTGCATATAAATATGACGATTCCCTTTTATTTGTGTCTCTTTGTATCTTGTTATCTTTGTCTGTCCCAGGTATGTAAGCAATAAATGTTCACTTTTTCCAGTTGGTTCATTACAGTGGAAGTCAAACTAAAGGTTCATTATTCTCAAAAAAAAAAAAAAAAAGACGGCACACAGTTGGGCACCAAGCCTTCCATTATTTTGTTCAAAAAAGTCAAATAACTGGTCCTAACCAATTAGACCGAGTGCAGAATGCCAAGTAATGCTACCCGGCACGTGCAGGGAACGCGACAGCTGCCGGTTAATAACAGAGAAATGGGCAGGTGAAAGCACAGAAAGCTAGGGACTTACCAGGGGAGGTCATCATACCTGTCAGAGATAGTGGCAGGACATTTCATACCAGATGGAAATGAGAATTTTTTGTTCCTCTCCCCAAAAAAATCCTCTCCCACATAAAGAAACAGTCAAACACATAAATACAAGTATCAAGCATAATTCAAATAGCAAATTTAGTATTGCATTTACTCAATGGAAAAATATGAACTGTTCCCCATATACTGACATTATACAAGCCCCTATGGTAGTGTATGAGTTTGCAAACAATAATTTTAATATTACAGCTTTCATCGGCGTCAATCGTCAAAGTAATGAAATATCGTGAAACATCTGCGAGTGTCGAGTATGAAATATAGTAGCTGCCCTGATGATCTCTCTACACGTTAACAATGTTCCCGGGTAATGAAGACGAATGATGAGCAAGTGGTCAGACTGACTCGCTGGTGCCACCGCCGATATTACAGAGATTTTATAGATAAACAGTGGTTTGTGAGGATATTAGTGTTCATAAGCATCTACTTCTTTATACCTTTAATGTGTATTCTTATTATATTTACACCGAAAATATTTTGTTTTACAATTGACATTACACTGAAAGAAAAACCTAGTGAATTTAGCTAGTGTGCCTCGTAAAGCGTTTGTCATGATTAGTAATCTTTCATTTTACTGGCTAAGATTGTGAGTTTTGAAGCGGGGGTCGTATAGATACTTACATACATAGTGAAAGTTACTTATCAATTCTAGATTTACTAATCTTATCTAGTAAATATACCCAATACCTAGTAAAACTGCTTTTAAGGTAGTGATTGTATGGACAATAAATTTACTAGTCTCCTTAGTGACTTTAACTAGCTTTTTTTTTTACAGTGTATGTACTAGTATA